ATCCTTTCTTTTTATTTGACCAATTGTGATCACTTATCGAACAACTAATGTTGCTTTGAACAGTCACAAATACCATAATGCTGGGAAAAAAAGTATGTTATAGAATTTGCTACTAATCGGATACTAAGTGCAGGGAAGGATGCAAAGCTAATTCGATCCTGTAAAGAATGTGATTTATCTTTGTAGTGTGCTAGACAACATACCACATAAGCAATTGAAACAAGGTCAAATGATTTGGAAGGCAAGCCAGTGTTTTCGCCGTTTGCATGTATCCAGCTGATAGGATTCTTTCTCTCGCTTCTTTTCTTTTCTTTATACTGAGCAACAGCAAGAAAATAAGGTGAAAGATCCAGACCCTGCACAAGAAATCAAGAATCAGAAATATTTAAGATTGACAACAACAACAAACCCAGTGTAATCCCACACTGGGTTACAGAAGTTATTACTGCATTTGGCATTATCTAGCCTTCTTTTTCTCCTAAACAGATGAAATTATAAATGTTCGTTCATACTCACAGTTACTTTAGCAAAAGGATATCTGTCCGCAAGATATCCTGTGCTTACACCAACAGAGCATCCAATGTCAAGAATGTCTCTGATTGACAAGTCTCCTGAATATTGTTGATGATGTTTTTCGATTGCGTCAAGCCAATTTCCGCGTACTATCTGGTTTGCTTCTTCAAGTGAAGAAGCATTAGGTATTGCACGTCTCACCATCGACATGGTTGCAGCCTCTACTTCAGCTGCAGCCTACAGTAGTTAATTAAGTTGATGTAAATTTCTAAGTAGCTTCATAACCAAATAATCATAAGCACATGACAAAAAGGATATATCATATCCTCGATTACTTGATCACCAGAGACCAAAGAACCAACAGAAGCACAAATAACCAATGAAGTACAAATCAAACATAAATATAATATAACTTGAAATTATGCACGAAACTGAAGAAATCTGATAAGAAAAGATTGAAACTTTCAATGCGCCACTTTTAGGGGCACAAAAGACATGTTGGAAATCAATGTTAACTCTTACCAGCCAGGAGAGGTTGCCTTCATCATACGCGTGGAAGGGATTTAGATAATCTGGAACAAGCAATCACCGTGTCAACCAGTTTGTTTTCGGCAAGGGTGATTCAGTACAATAAAAATTTAAAAGAAAAAGTTGTCTTTCAGTCCTTAAACACATAATGTAAGAGGAGATTACATTACAAAGAACAATGGTTAGGCCTAAAGTCCCCTCCACGTGTAATAATTTTTCAAGCTAATAAAATATCTCATGGTTTCGACCTTTGAATTTCCTTGAACTGAGGGTCCATCGGAAACATCCTCTCTACATTCACAAGGTAGGAGTAAGGTTTGCGTACACACTACCCTCCCCAGACCTCACTTGTGGGATTATACTAGGTATGTTGTTGTTGTTGTTGTTGTTGTTGTTTCGACCTTTGAATGTCATGCGCTCATCGCTCCATATTACAGTCAAGTTCCCACCATTAATAGATAAAGTAGTGCATAACTTAAGATATATGCCTCCTCTGTAACATTAGCTTCCTTAAAATAGCTAGTGGTTAGTCCACCAGAGGAAATTTGCTTTAATATAAATGGTTCCCATCTGCATTTATCCCATTCTCTTCTAACACCTCCAACAGATTACACACTGCAAAAAAGCTTCATCTCTTAAATACTCAAAAAATCAACTTCTGCTTATTTTCCTTCTCCATTACTAGGACTACAAGCACTAGCCTGGCTAACTGAGTATTTTCAGCCTCTGAAACTAAATTCAAGTAACTTTATTACTCCCTCTATCCCGGTTTATATGTCATACTTTCCTTTTTAATCTGCCACAAATATCTATGGTTTATTTTAGACCACAAGTTACTCCGTGCCGAGTCAGTCTAAGGCTAAATTCGGTGGGATAAAAGAAAAGAAAAAATATAAAAAAGTTTGATAAGAAACTCACAATCAGGATATACAATGGCAGGATTCTGGATGCTCTCTAACTCTTTGTAAACATCAGAATCCAGTATCTCCTTTGTCATCTCCCTCCATGGAATATTAGTTTTCTCAGCTGTACTGTTCAAACCCCACAAAATCAGATCAAACTTGAGGCAATTTAAACATTTCAATATAGTAGCGGAGCAAGTAAAATTCTATGATCAAGTTTGTCCCTACCTACTAACAAAAAATATTTACACGTAGTTGGCTAGCTTATTACAAACTTAAAATATAAGGAAAAGATCCAAATTTACCCATCTGCTCTAAGAAATATGCTAATGGTATCATTTGCTATACTTTAACGTTATTCAGACTCTTGCAATTAGCTAATTGTCTCTTTGTTCTTGACTTTAACGGAGCTCCAAACAGTACAAATTATTCTCTCCTTTTGATTATGTTTTAATATTACCCTTAGTTATATTTCTGGATAGGGTTGCGGTATTATGAAGGATCAATATGAAATGATTTGTGTAATCTATGGATATTTTTAACCATTTATCCTAAAATATACTTTCCCTGTTTCAATTGATGTGTCTCGACATGGAATTTAAGCAAAGTTAGGAAAACTTTTAAATCTCGTGGTCCTTAACTAAATATATGTTTAATGTACCAAAAACAAAATCTTGAATCTTGTGCTCTCAAATATGTCACGTGTAACGTTGGAGTTAAATAGTTACAGAACAAAATATAAAAAAGGATATTTTTCTAAAACAAACCAAGAAAGAAGGTAAGACGAAACAAAGAGTATATTCTAAATATAAAAAAATTTCTTCTTAACCAAAAAAGTTTATGGTGGAGTGTTAAGTACTTCTTCATCCTTAACTAGAGGTATTCGAACCTTGGGTTTGGAGTCGCCTTTGTTAGAACACTTTACGCCCAATACAGGACTTTACATTGCGAATCCGGACTTACTCGTACCCCTATGCGGGTACTGAGTACCGGGTGGAAACCCAAAAAAAAAGGTTCCTTGTTGAACTTTAAGATATTCACAAAATTCAACAAAAGAAATAGCGAATGTAAAAGTGGGAGGACCTGATAAGAACTTGTCTGGCACCAAGTTTGAGTATAGAGAAGAGAGGTTTGAAGGAAATAAGAGCTCCAACTAGACGTGAAAGTGGGGTTTCCCCTGTCCAACGAGGCCTTTCAAGTTGTCCTTCCTCAAATGCCTCTGAAATTTGTGCATTTCCACTACTGCTTGAAGAAGCTGACAATTTAAACCCCAAAACATTACGGCTTCTTCTTATTGGATTGTTAGTTAGGGTGAAGAAATTGGGATTCACAGTGTCAAGCTTGAAACTGAAAGCCATTTGCGTGTTAATCTTGATGCGAGCGCGAAAGAGGGCTGTTATTTTTGTCCCACTGAAAATCATTGCCATTTCTTCTTTGTGGTTTGAATTGAAAAAGTATCAAAATCGTGAAATCCTACTGGACCAACGGAAAGTGGACACGTGTACGTTCTATTCCTCTAGTGATAAATTTGTATTCTGTCTTTTCTGAGGTTTGTTAACTGTTAAAGTCTGATGCATGAATGCCAAATGTTCGCCGAAATTGTTTTTGTGAAAACATGTACACGGCACGAATTAGTATATGTAATGAATACAATGTAAATATTATTAGGATAAATAAACAATTTAGAAATTATTAGATTACTAACGCATAGTTCTGTATTGCATATCAAAGTTGTATTAGAGCCTGTTTGGATTAGCTGATAAACTTATAGTGCTTAAAAAAATTTTTAAGTGCTGAAACTGATTTTTAAAATAAGTATTTACGCATTTGGATAGAAGTGCTGAAACTGATAATAAGCAGTTGATGTATTGATTAAAAAGTGTTGATAAACTATTCTTTTGTTAAAATGACTAAAATACCCTTGAATTTTTTTTAAATGACTAATTCTTTTCTTTGTAAAGAAAAGAATTAATAATAAATATGGAATGAAGAAAAAGTCAAGAAATTTATTTTGGGAAAAGTATTTTGTGAACTAGAAAATATTATTAAGGATAAGCTAGTAAAAGTGTTAGTCAAACTAAAAGTGTTTATAAGCTGAAAAGTCATAAGTTGGAGGTGACAAGCTTATGACTTATGGCTGATTTTAGCTTATAAGCATTTGGCTTATAAACACTTTGAGTGTTTAACAAACACGTAGATAAGTCAAAAGGTGTTTATAAGCCAGTTTGACCAGCTTATAAGCTTAGCCAAACACCCTCTTAGTTATGAGGATTTTTAATTTCCTTATGCGGCCAACTAAAGATTCATTAGGTATGCACTATGCTGAGTATTATACCTAAATTAATACTAACTCGAAGTCCAAATGTGAGGATCAACGAATAAGTTGTGGCTAAGAATAAAATGTCACTCCGAGATAGTTTTTCTCGACTAGGTTGTTCACCTGAAGATGGATCAAGGCGCAGCAATTAACCGTTTCATTCTGGCAAATGTTATCGGCCAAGATAACTAGGATATCTAATCGTATTTGCTTCCCTAGCTTTCATCTCGCAAGCGACTGTTGATCCAGTTGGCCAAAACTCCCATTTACGAGCAAAGAGCTTGATCGAAAAAACATGCTGAATCTGCTTTCCCGTGGTTATCTTCATACCTCAAACAACTTGTCCTCGTTTACATTTTAAAAACTTGGAACTCGTCTTCCATCTTTATTCCTTTCGTTAATGAAGGCAGGAGAGGGAGGCCAACAGCCCAACAGGACCACAGGTGGTTTAACACAAGCAAGGAGCTTACACCAAATGACCAAATCAACCTCCAACAATTCACCAACTTTGTTGACGTGAAATATTTTGGCTAATGTCCTGTAAACCTAAGCAAGTATAACTGAGCATCGTAACTCTTGCGCCACTCAGTTCAGAGACGTCAAATTGAATAGAAACTGCCACTCAGATCAGAGATTACGAATTGAATAGACGCTGCCGCAGTAGCAGATAGAGACGGAAAGAAATGCCAGCAACCTTCATTCTACGACATTTGAAGAAGTCAATAGCCTATGCCCCCAACTAAACTAAAAAGGCAAGATATATATTAAAATTTTGGTGGAATTTAGATAATGAAGGTTGAGAGGACAAATAAACACTGAATCCTCCATTTGGCTGCGGCAGTCATCTGAAAAATAAAACCACCTATAGACAAAACCAATCAACTAAAAGACTGAACACCTCACTATTAGGGGAGGAAATAGCACTGGGATGCAAAATCTGACCACATGAAGACTTCAAACTGATATGTAAACAAACTATAACAAGACGCGCCCATAAAATAAGTATTTATAAGGATCCTAATGAACAGCATCCCCTGGGTGTATCATCCTCCTCCCTTAAATAACATAGTAGGCTCTAATATGTTGTCCCGTCACTGCAAAAGTATAAGAAAAGAAATGGGTCGGAATGGGTCGGAAAGTCAACTACTCAAAGAGTGGTGAAAAATAAATATTTATTTGAATGAAGGACCAGAAATATGTATGAAGAAACCCACCTCGGCACCCTCGCCTCCTGCTTTGCTTGTGGCTGCATCTCCCTTTTGGGCATCTTCTGTTGAGAAGGGAAAACAAAAAATACAACCAAGAATAATAGAAAGTCAATATCCTCTAAATGTTAGAAAAGGTATTGTATTCATCTAACTGAACCTATTTGTTATGGCCTTATCAGCATCAAAATATCGGTTGCGCTGTGATTATAATCCCTCTTCAAAGTCATTTCGGTTGAAGAATGTTAAAACAAAAAGATGACAACTCACCACCTCAATACAAGCAGGAACATCTGTGAAATTTAAGCTGAAGCCTTGCAAAGAATACAATTAGCGAATCCTAGAACGTTGAAAGTCTTAACCTACTAGTTGCAGTAATCCCAATCTCACTTTTTCTTTTTTTCTTTTTTGAGAAAGAGAAGTATCTCATCCCATCCTCAATAAAACAATAACAAAAGTATGAAACATTTGTACAATCCCCTTTCCCACTAGATTATCCTATGTCCGACAAATCATTGGATGTAGCATGAAAAAGAAAATCCTCAAAAAAAATCCTCAAACTTTTTAGACTGGTTGGATTCCTTTTCCCCCCGAAAATAAGCGACAGCACTCCAAGGTTCTGAAATGTCATGTTGAAAATGAATTGACATTCCTGAAGATATCTGATATCTTTGATTGACAAGTTACTGTCCATAATATTCAACAACTATGGCAAATATACCAGAAAGGGCTGTCAGAAAGTTCAAACAAAACCCAATGAAAGTAGTTTCAGCCTTAAACAGAAAATTAAAAATAAAAGAGAGAAAAGTGCATTGTGCTAGCAATCATAACAAGCCAACTAAATCCGCACCCACAAGTTGTAGACTATACAAAAACATCAAGGCAGATTGAGAATATGACTTCACGTATACCTGAATCCTCTGGAATATCAGAAGTCCACAAGGTGAGATTGTCCCTCAGAAGCTGCATAATCAAGGTGCTATCTTTGTAGGAATCCTCATTTAGGCTATCCAACTCTGATATTGCTTCATCAAAAGCCTGCTTTGCAAGGTGGCATGCCCTGGAGAAAACAGATTATTAATCAGCTGAGATTACATATAGATTACGAATAGACTTCAAGAAAATGATAATTCAGAGAGACGAAAGACAGACCTTTCAGGAGAGTTCAGGATCTCATAGTAAAAAACAGAGAAATTCAAAGCCAAACCCAACCTAATGGGATGGGTAGGTGGTAATTCAGCCTCAGCAGTTGTTGTAGCTGACTGCACACGAGATTTAGTTGGAATAATAAGTAGAACTAGATAAACATATATTCACGTGCTGTGTAATCATAACCAACTATAATCAAACATGGAGAGATGAAAAGGTACAAAAGGATGAGAAAAGAGGCTACGCATCATGTTTGTAATGTTAAAAACTTGAAATAACAACATTAAGTAGACTCCTACAATGACATCATATTTTTATGCAAAAGATGTTTGCTTTCCAAGTATCTTGGGTCTATAATTCAAGGCAACGGGGAGATTGACGAGGATGTTACTCACCGCATTGGAGCGGGTTGGATGAGATGGAGGCTAACTTCGGGGGTTTTATGCGATAAGAATGTGCCGCCTAGACTTAAGGGCAAATTCTACAGGCTGGTGGTTAGACCGGCTATGTTGTATGGAGCTGAGTATTGGCCCGTCAAGAAGTCCCATGTCCAGAAGACGAGCGTAGCTGAAATGAGGATGTTGAGATGGATGTGTTGACACACCAGGAAAGACAAGATCAGGAATGAAGTTATTAGGGACAAGGTGGGAGTGGCATCCGTGGAAGCCAAATTGCGGGAATCGAGGCTGCGATGGTTTGGGCATGTGAGAAGGAGAGACATAGATGCCCCGGTCAGGAGGTGTGAGAGGTTGACCATGGCGTGCGTGAGGAAGGGCAGGGATAGGCCAAAGAAGTATTGGGGAAAGGTGATTAGGCAGGACATGTCGGTGCTTCACCTAACCGAGGACATGACTAGCGATAGGAAGGTGTGAAGGTCTAGGATTAAGGTGGTGGGTTGACAGGTAGTTGTGAGTTTCTCCTAAGTTTACCAGTAGTACTAGTAATATTCTTGTTGTTGGTTGACAGTCACTTCCTGTTAGTTTGTTATTATATTTGGTACTTAGCAACCACGTCCATTGTTTTTGAAAATTGCTCCCTGATTGCTACGATTTGATGCTACTCTTTCTCCATTTTACTGGAAATGGTTGCTACCTGATTATTACTATCTGTCTTTCTTCTCCCCCCCCCCCTTCTTCTTCCCTTTTCTTCCTTTCCACCTTATCTTGAGCCGAGGGTCTATCGGAAACAGCCTCTCTACCTCTCCAGGTAGGGGTAAGGTCTGCGTACACACTACCCTCCCCATACCCCACTTGTTAGATTATACTGGGTATGTTGTTGTTGTATGTTTGCTTTCCAACACCCAAGTACCAAAACATGGGATACAAAATGAACTGGTCCGTGAAAGAGATTAAAGATTACAAAAAAGGAAGGGGGGTATCACTTTTATGCTGTGTGTTGCATCATGAAGTCAAAAAAAACAAGAATATATAAAGGAGCATTCGCTCATGTGGCAAAAATTAATGCCCAAACTTGTAGGCTGTAACCAATATGTCACATTCTACATTCTCATCAATGGTATTGGATTGTATATCTGTTAGCTTCTCAGCTAGCACTGTTACCATTACCAAATAACTCGAAGTTAAAACTTATCGTTCCACAGCAAGAAACAACCAATCACTAAAGGATTTCACCATAGCTAAACCTCAAGAACAATAGTTAGATCTATGTCATAAAACAAATTCGTTGAAGCAAACTCTCTGTGTGCAAATCAAGTTTTAATTCAACAAACAAAAAACAACCTCCTTTCCCCTCAACCGTCTACACATATCTGCTTTTAGTGAAAAGTGAGTAAAAACAACTAAACTAACAAGTACATCAAACATTGTTCAGATCAAGTAAACATGAAAGGTATTCCACTGAATAACAGTATGGCCAAAAACAGATTTTAAACATTTTTTTAAAAATAACCCTCTCATCCAGGATCCTCCTAAACCCTCATTGCATCCAGGAAGAACAAACGAAAGGATATTTATCATGTGTAGTACAATCCAACTAAAGGTACTTCTACCAAACACACACCCCCTCCAACATTTGACATCCGTGAAATTTGCCACTCAAAAGAATCCACAGTCTCTCTTGCATTAAAGAACTCAATCTCCAATCAGACGATACAGTTCTATATATGAGTGATCCATTAAATGCAGTTTTAAAGAAAATAGCAAGCTATTTTAGAGGTCAAAAGTCTGAATTTAAGTCTTTCAATATGGACAAGCAAGCAGGAGATGTGATCGGTTCTTGCATAAAAAGCAATAGCCAAAAGCAAAGGGGAGAACACAGGTCTCTTATATGTACCAACATATTTGAGAAGCTAAGTGCAAGCAATTATTACCTGATATGCCTTCAATGAAAGATCAGACACCTCTTTCTTATCGGTACCAGTTTTGAACTCTGCAAGATAGCGATAATAATCCCCTTTCCTGTATGCAAAGATAAATCAAATGATCAAAATGAACAAACACTGAAGTTTAGGACTTCCCATGTCACCAAATACAATATTTTCCACCCAAACTGATTAATGCAAAAGCCCTCACATCTTGTAGTAAAACACAGATGATTCGCCAGCAGGACATGAGGGAATTAGATGCTCATCGATAACAGTCATGATATCACTGCAAATGTCAGTTAGCTCCTTCTCAACCTTATGCCGGTACTCCTTGATCCGTTTAGCACTCAGCTCGTTTCCTCTTGACTCTTCCTTCTGCTCAATAGAGGATAAGATCCTCCATGATGCTCTCCTCGAACCAACAACATTCTTATATCCAACAGAAAGCAAATTCCTCTCCTCCACAGTCAATTCAACATCCATATTTGCAACCTTTTTCATTGCATCAACCATCTCTGTAGAATGATGTAAAGATATAAAACTCTAACCATTTAACAATAAAGAGGACACGCATAGCGGGAGCTTAGTGCAACAGCTACCCTTTTTTCTAAACAATAAAGAGGAAGCCTAATTCCATTTTAATTGCTGAGGAGAAGAAGGGAGGAGGAAAACAGAATTAAACAACGCCGCGAATTATTCAAATTTAATATAAGTAACCTCTTGGTATAATCCACAGTTTTATTTCATATGCATTATAAAGCAGCAAAAGTTCTAGGAAGAATCAAAATTTCAGATCCAATAATGGACGAGTAAATACTTTTTTCATCCATTTCTATCCAATCAAGAAAGACTTTATTCGAAATCTTTTTATAGCTTTTTGGATTTGATGAATCGTGAGAAAAAAATGCATTTTGTTCAATTATCAATATTAGTAATACATCAGTAGTAGTAGTAGTAGCAACAACAACAACAACAACAACAAAAAAAAAACCAGTAATACATCAGTAGGAAATATAGAAAACTTCAGATCCAATAATGGACGAGTAAATACTTTTTCATCCATTTCTATCCAATCAAGAAAGACTTTATTCAAAATCTTTTTATAGCTTTTTGGATTTGATGAATCGTGAGAAAAAAATGCATTTTGTTCAATTATTAATATTAGTAATACATCAGTAATAGTAGTAGTAGCAGTAACAACAACAACAACAAAAAACCAGTAATACATCAGTAGGAAATATAGAAAACTTCAGATCCAATAATGGACGAGTAAATACTCTTTTCATCCATTTCTATCCAATCAAGAAAGACTTTATTCGAAATCTTTTTATAGCTTTTTGGATTTGATGAATCGTGAGAAAAAAATGCATTTTGTTCAATTATCAATATTAGTAATACATCAGTAGTAGTAGTAGCAGCAGCAACAACAACAAAAAAAAAAACCGGTAATACATCAGTAGGAAATATAGAAAACTTCTAGTACTTTTTATTTTTATTTTTATTTTGTAAAATGTTGGCCTGAGATGAATTTAAATGGGAAACATGGTTAGTGAGGATTCATATGGCCAATTCCAACTTGTTTACGGGTGAAATATAGTTGTTGTTGTTGTATCAATATTAGTAGTACCAATTTTAGTATTTGGTTATCATCGTACGAACTTTAAATTCTTAAAACATGCCTCTTTACCTCCTTTTTGTCTAAGATAAAAACGGATAATTTTCCAATCAAAATATTTCCTCTAGAAATTTCTTTCTATGTATAGTGTATTGTCTTTTCTTAAATAATTATTGACACGAATACTGTTAAAATAATCTAGTTTAATCTGCAGAGGTCAAAAAACAATTCATCGCCAAATTGAAAATCACAAATAGTATAAGCTCATCCAAAATTTAGAATTTTGAAGAACTGAAATTTGAGATCTGATTTTGAAGGTTATATGAATAACCAGATATACAATTAGTGTAATTAAACAGATATAAGTGAAAGGCTGCTCTTGAAGAGCCTAGGTTCACTCATGACTTAGTGTGCAAGACTGGCTCTCCTCTTTCAGCCTTCTACTAGTAGACTACTATGGGGGTTACCCGTGATTGGTAATGGCACAACCAGAAGAGGAGTAGGGGGGACAAGGTTAGGCGCTGGGTAGCGCATCACATCTGTTTCGGGTCCAGAGGCGTGAAGTTCCGCCTGCGTTTGAAGGCTAGCTCCTGCTACCAAGCTCCTCTTCCCCCTTCATCACACTCTCTCTCTCTCTCTCCGGCCCATGCCATTAGCTCAAACTCATTAATTGAGATATATAATTAGAAAAAAAAACCAACACTAATTTAGAAGTAAAGAAGGAAATAACATCACATAAATTGGACGGAGAGAGTGTAAATTTTGAAGAAATTAAGTTTGATATTCGATTTTGAAGGTTGTCTTAGCAATCAGATATAAAATCAGTCTAAAATTAAACATACATCAAAGGAAAAAAATAATTAATTGAGATCAAAACTATTGACACGAATAACTATTGTCTTTTCTTAAATAACTATTGACACGAATACTGCTAAAATTAAACTGCAGAGGTGAAAAAACAATTCATTAACAAATTAAAATCACAAATAGTATAAGCTCAGCCAAAATTTAGAATTTTGAAGAACTGAAATTTGATTTCCGATTTTGAAGTTTATATGAATAACCAGATACACAATTAGTGTAATTAAGCAGATATAAAGCTCAAAAACATTAAATATATAATTAGGCAAAAACAAACACTAATTCAGAAGATATAATTCTGAAGAAGTGAAGTTTCATTCTCGATTTTAAAGGTTGTCGAATAATCAGATACAGAATAGCATCACATAAATTGGGACAGAGAGAGTTTAAATATAGAAGAAATGGAGTTTGATATTCGATTTTGAAGGTTGTCTTAGCAATCAGATATAAAAACATTCTAATTAAACATATAAATCAAAGAAAAAAATAATTAATTGAGATCAAAACCCTAACCGTCGTATCGTTCAGCTTGCTCGGCGAGTTTGGCGATGTAGACGAAGTTCTCGCGTTCTTTTGAGGAAGCCATGTCCGATTTCTGTGAGCAAAAGAAGATTCCTTTTACCCTTTCCCCTTTCTTTTTGGTTCTCTGGCTCTGACGATTTTGTTTACTCTACGACGATTTTTTAAAAAAGAGAAGAGAGAGTGAGTAGAAATGTTAAACAAAGGGCTTAGACAAATGGATAATTGCAATACTTCCCCTTGAGCTTCTTCGATTTTGATAGATAACCCCAACAAAGTTTCTTCAGGTCATATTATCACCCTTGAAAATTTAATGAAATTTTAAAAAGAAAAAAAATATTTAAGACGAAATACATAAGTCACCACCTGAACTGTGGACCAAATTCATGTTATACACTTTTGCAAATAAAAATCACCTTGTATATTCAATCTTTTCAGAGTGTGTTTAATACGAAAATCTGGTACATAGTTCAGATGAAAACTTTATCTATTAGTCATTTATTTCTCAATCTTAAATTAACATTTAATTGGGACACATGGTGAAATATTATGCTAATTAGAGACATTAATCTCAAAGTGTGGTCTATAAGTGAATAAGGAGAATCCCATCACTACTAACCAAGGCACAATTAGATCATTTACATAATTCAGGAGCAAATTTGTCTCTTTGCTAGTATCTTGGGTTGAGAAAAGAGATAATATGACTTGAGAATTTCATTAATGTTTTGCACCATGAGCAGCACATCGAATATTATCAGTTTTTAGTAGTAGGTAGGACTTGATAATGATAGCTTCCTCAGTCATGAAATGTGACACGTTGTTTGTGTAAAATAAAATAACGTTTTTATTTGAGTATAGAGCTAAAGAAAGTTCAATAAGTTCAAGCTTATAACTAGCAAAAAGTATACTAGAGGTATGGTTAATTCTTCTTTACACATAAATGACCAACATTCTTACGCCCCTTGAAGAGTTAACCAGATGTGATCACATCATAGTTTTCATAACTAATTGAATATTTTTCCAAAATCAAGTTTTTCTTCAGTTAACAAATTCAATACTAATTGATATTGTCCAGTGGCCTACACTTTAGAATTGGACCAAGGATATTAGCAGTATTGGGCTGGGTTATACTTTAGAATTGGACCCTCACAAGCCCAAAAACCAACAAACGCTCGTGAATCGTTTTCTTAATAGGTTTAGTTTGAAATAAGTGTGGGATAACAAATCTCTTAAGAAGAATTAACTTAAATAGCCGTCTACTCAATTGCTTAAGCTAAAAATAATTGGTGATATATAATATATGTATAACCAGAGTATAATCTATATATACCGACTAAAAAAACTAAACAGTAAATTAAAATAGTTGTTTGTGAAAAGATACAATAACTCAATGCTGCACAAAATGTCAAAGTGATCAAATATAGTCAAAATAGCATGGGTTGGTGAGTTTTTGTATTGATAATTGAAAAATAGTCAGCATTTGCAAGGTAATTAAAAAATAGCAACTATTTAATGCAGAGATAAAATATAGACAAAATACCCTTAGCAAAAACACACACAAAAAAAAATCCAACATAATATACTGAATTATGAAATTTCTGCGTATAAAATTTCAGTGCATTATGCTGGAGTTCGATGTCTTGTATGTAAATTTTATCATATTATGCTGGAGTTCGAACTTTAAGAAGTTAAATTCCTGCATATTTTGTTTGAATTCTAAGAAAAAATGTTGAAACTCAAATAGAACATCATGTATGTGAATTTCAATATATTATGTTGGAGTTCTAACTCTTAGAAGTTAAATTCCACCATATTCTAGAACTCCAAGAAATGATGCTAGAACTCAAACGAAACATAGTCCTATAATTCTAATTTTAGCTTTCGCTGGAGTTCGAATAACGCAAAAAAGATAAGAAGCGAGTCTTCGCACTCTTTTAAGTTGGGTATTCTTGTCCAAATATTATTCTCACACGAAAAAGTGATTAAATTTAATTAGTTTCGAAAAGTATGATTTACTTTCAGTTAGGGGTGTCAATGATTCGGTTCGGCCGATTGTTTTATAAAATTTATACCATACCAAATTTTCGGTTATTCTATTATGTATAACCAAAATTAGACTTTTAGAAATCGTACCAATTATATTGGTTTCTCTTCGATATCTGTACGGTTCGGTTAATTTTTGATATTTTTTAAAATGTCATTTAAAAGTCACTAGTGGAAGCAGAATACAATAAAATAGGTACTTTTATAGGACTTAGCAAAATTCTCTAGACATTTTTACTATTTTAAGGGCGATGAATTAAGAAAATGCGAAAGATGGCTAGAGTATAGATCCATCAACTTATACAGCAGCGCAAAAGAAACTAAGCAAAGACAAAGAAAATATAAATCACACGAGTGGAAAGATATTAAACAAGTTGGGACTCAAGAATAAAGTCTATAAAAGATTAAATATTTAAAAATATAAATTTAAATTATATGAAAGGAAACATATTTAATATGTTGTAGTTTGCCACTCATAAGTCATAATCGCTAGAATATGTTGTGTCTTGCTAATGAATATGTTGGAAATAATTTAGTTTCAATAAAAGTAGTATAATAGGTTTGTGAATTAGGATTTTAAGTTTAATTATTTGTTGGCTTGTAATCGTTTTCATAATTCCAAGGCCCAAGGAAAAATTTAATGTTTTATTATTTTTAAAATTTAGTATATAAATATATTTTTTTATGTAAAATTATTCGGTATGGTTCGGTATTTTATTCGGTTTATTCATAAAAACCTACCATAATTATCGGTTATAAATTTATATAAAAACCTACGATTTTATTAAAAGGAACCTAAAAATCGATTCGATACGATACGGTACGATCGGTTTAATCGATTTTTAAATATTTATTGAAACCCCTCCTTTCAGTTACTAGTTGTAATTCTGACTAATTCTAAATTTCTCTCTTTAATCTTTTACTAAAGGGATACATTGTCTCTAAGAGAGCAGCCCACTAGTGAAAAAGTTATCAATGGCCAAAGATAAGTGTCTAGTTAATTAGACATGCCACACTCCTTTTACTGGCTATTCAAAAGAAGTTATAAAGAAAAAGATTAAATTATATATACCGATAATATAATTTTTTGTAATTATTAGTTCACTTTAATCGATTATAACATGTTACTGTATTTTTCTAAGTTACTCCATTATGCTTGCTATGAAAAATTATTTATCATTATAGGTCAGCTTAATACGATGATGTTAAAAGAATTTTGTAAACTCCAAAGAGAGGAAAAGAAAAAGCACAATGCTTTAAAGACAGGATGAAATGAAAATAAGTGGGTACGGTAGTACACACGGTGCAGAAGAACTTTGGAATTAACTTTACTATTCTACAAAAGCAACATGAAAATAGCCATGTCTTTTTCTTGAACTTTTTGTAAAGAAAGTAAAGTAATGTGCTTCAATAAAAGAGCCCACCTAGATATTGAGACAGAGTAACTGTTGATTAGTTTTAGTCGGTAAAAAGACGACAAAGCGAGTAGTCCAAAAATCTAATAGCAAACGAGTATCTTTTTTGAAAAATAATTAGCATATGTTTTTTACCAACACAAATTGTGATAGAGTCGTAATTGATTCATTCCCAACTAGAGGTACTGGGTTCAAGTCCGAAATATAGAATCGTCTTTAGTAGGAGCAAATTATTTATCCTCCCGTTAAAGTAGACCGCGAATTCAAATTAGTCGAGTCCTAAAGCGGACACTGAATATCGAATGGTAACCTAAGAGTAGGGTTGTGCATAATGTGGTAAATACCGAATTACCGTACCGAAACCAAAAATTTTGGTATTTGATATTCGATATTTTGGTATTTGATATGGTATTTGGTTTACGTTTTAAAAAAAAAATTGGTATTTGGTATTTACAAAGATAATACTGAAATACCGATACTGATACCGAACCGAAATATATAATAAGTTACACAATACACTTATTATTGATTATAACATACTAAGTTACACAATATTTTTCTTTGGTATGCATGTTGAAGCTGGTAGTAAATCTCATATATGTATTTATTTAGGAAAATGGAGGAACAAGGTAGGCCGCAAAATTTGACTCTTATTCTCTAGTATACCAAGCATCTTATCGTAATACTTTTACAGTTTTAGGGTGTTTCTTCTCGTGTATTGAATTGCATGTGTTGGATTACTCCTTGTTTTATTCTCTAACTTCGACAATTAGCTCTAAGCAAATAATAAGACATTTTCATTGATTAAATTTATTCCTTTATGTACCTTTTTCTCTCTATGGGCTGATACTTACTGGTTTTGAGCAATTTTTTTGTCAATAGTCATGTTAGCCTGGAACGTTTTTAATTTTATATTTGTGAGTATTTTAATTAAGAATATAGTTTATGGCTTTATGCACTGGTTAATTTGAAACCTAACAAACCGAAGTTACCGTATCGAATAAACCGAAAAAAGAAAAAAAAAAAAATCGAACCATACCGAATATAATTAGGTACGATATTGGAATATCATTTTATGAAATCGAATACCAAAAATACAAAACTGAAATATTTAAATACCGTACCGTATCGACCGTCGAACACCCCTACCCAGGAGAATGATTTTTGGAGAGGGACCAACCTTAATGTGAGTACATAAAAAAGAGGTTGCTGATCTAGGTTAAAACCAGCTTTCTACTGTGACGTTTGAGTCCATGAGTATCTCATTCTCCCCCCTCCTCTAGCAATTAGTTTTAGTTTCTTTACGATTTGGGTGAATGATGAAATTTTAATTTCTCCCAACTATAAAAGTCCCTTTTTGCTAGTGGGTGTGAAGTCAAAGCGTGTTTTCACTGATTAATGATATGAATATAATTTGACTTGATGGTAAACAGTATCAAATATAATAATTATATTGTTTATACAGTACGAACAAAAAAGTTATGACCACTCGTTAAACTCGTAATAATGCAGTTTTGATTGTTTTTTACTCACTAGAGAATTGTTCTGATCTTCCGGAGCATATAGTACTTATTATACTTACCGTCAAAGTTTTTTAAAGCAAAGAATATTCCTTATCTCAATTGCATTATCCTATCGTACCAATGAATTATTGAATTTTATATATATCTAGAATAAACTAACATTCTACAGTTAAAAATCTT